ATTCTGTGATTCCACAGGTTATATTAACAGTCACACTTTTCGGGAAAACCGCCTCTTAGATTAATTCACGACAACATAACAAAGAAATCAGTTTTTCTAGTGAATTTATGCTTATCTCGCTTAATCATTCCGCAGTTCAATCCCACAGATTATTATTTTATTTACAACACCAATCCATAATCTCTTCCTCTCACCAATCAGAGCCTAAATTTTTCCATATTATTGAGAAAGTCACTTTATCATTCACAATGAACACAAACGCCAAGAACCTCTAAAGATTAATCAAATAGAACCATCAATCCTCGACTATGAGCACGAAAGCACCAAAAACCACAAACGAAAGCTATTTTTCACACCAAGCAGCTAATTCTCAATCATAACTCGATAATTTGCCGAAACTAAAACCAATCATTAAAGCTTCACACAAAAAAAAACATTATTATCGATCTTAAAGTAAGAAGCTTATGAAATTCACACTTTATATCACCAATCATAGCCTATAATGTTCCATTACTACTGAGAATGTCACTTTATATCCTCATCAAACTCTAAAGCTAATCATTTCTCAACCATCAATCGTCGACTATGAGCACATAAACCCGAAAATTACACTATTTTCACACCAAGAAACTACTTCTTAATCACAATTTCGATAATTCAACAGAAATAAAACCAATCTTTGAGTTATAAATTTCGACTCACGGCGAAAGTGGTGGCGGTTGCGCCAATTACAGTAAAAGCGAGGATTCCCCAAAGCTTTAAGTCCGCCTTCTGCGGCGGCGGCGGAGGATTCCATTTCTTATCTTTCTCATCTTCGCCTCCCATTTTCTCTGCTTCGTCTCTACGAATCACGACAATCGATAACAGAATCTTTGGGCTTGTGGTGATTCAAATAACCCTAACAACATCCTTAGCGAATTCAATTGCTTGTCTTTCTTCTTCACTTCTTTAAAGATCAAATTGGATTCTTCCACCGCCTCAATTCGTCTTTGAAAGACGTTTTCTCCGTCTTACCGACGACGAACAATTTCCAGATTCTTTTTTTGATAGGTGAGAAATAGTTGGGCCCTTATTGGGCTTTTTTCCGCCAACAAAGAACGAATATTGTTTCGTTATTTAACCAAGATGTATTTAATTTTTAATTTTTATTTATTTATAAATAGAACCATTTAGCTCAATAACTAATTTGGATAAAAACTTGCGGTATTGAAAGAAAAAGACGAGAGAAAAATTGTCTCTCGAGACGATTTCGTGGGCGATTAAGCGATTTCTAAGTTATCTTCTATGGAAAATTCTGACAGTTAGCGACTTTATAGTGGGGTGGTTTCAGACCCACGATTGGGCGGTTCTTTCTGACAGAGTCGCAGGGATTCTTCGAGTTCTTCCTCCTTAAGATTCTCTTTTTATCAACTTCTAATGGCTGCCAACATCTGTCGTGGTCTCCAGAACATCAATTTAGGGATTGATGATGCTCATGTTGCTCTCCCTCAAAATGTTGATCAACAAGCTCTTGACGAAAATTGATTATGTCTGATGGGAAAACCTTTGATGCCGAGAAAGCAGAACATTCGCCAGATCATTGCGGCCCTACCTCTTTCTTGGGGCTTGGTTTGGATTGTCCGAGGGAGAGTGGTGGAGCAACGTCGCTTTCAATTCATTTTTCTGTCGGAGGAGTCTCTTGAAACTGTGTTGCGTCGTGGTCCATGGGTTTTTGCAGATCGCATGTGTAACACCCGTCCCGCCATACAGGCCAAGAAAGCGTGCTATTCATTCGATCTTGCCAAAACTTTTTACTTAAACTTCACACACGAATGAAAACATTGCACACAACTCTTGAAGTGTACTCACTTGAGGAAAAAGGGAATAAAGGGGTGAGTAAAAAATACTCAGTGAGGAGAGTCAACTCTGCCCACTGAAACATAGAAAACTTTCTTAAGCTATACAACCATAATCATAACATATAAACTTAGACAAGCAATCACATAACATTTCTTACTTGCTAAATTTAACAACATTCATGACATTCATCTTAACCACATAACCATACATATACATCGTTAGGTCAAGCCATGGGAACCCCAAACCCACATCTGTTCCACTAAACTCAAACAACAGAAAATCTTCCATTAGCTCCACTCCTTGGACTTCCAACAATACACCAGAACACTTTCCTTTTCCATGAAATATATGACCATTAGCCACTCATACCCCAAAGCTTTTGGTGTCGGTAGTGACCAATCCCAACTCTGGAATCAACTTATGAGATAAGAAGTTTGAAGTGGCTCTAGAATCCACAAGTATCACAACTTCTTTTCCCCCTATTCTTCCTTTCATAATCATTGATATCTCAGCTGAGACCCCTCCCATAGAATACATAATTTCTACTTCTGGTTCAGCAACAGTCTATTGTTGTTCCTCATCCATACCTTGAGCCTGGGCCAGAATCTCCTCTTCCCCGACCTCAGTATCAACCTCCATAATTCTGAACCTTTGCTTGCACCTATGGCCTGGGAACCATTTCTCTCCACAAGATCTGCAGGGGTTGAAGGATCGGGTTTCATTAGCAGCTAGCTTCTTGTACTCATTACCCTTTGTCACTAGTTGGTACTCTTGTCTTTGAGGCTGAGAGTAAGATGTTGATGAAGCTGGCTTTGGAGGTTTTCTAACATGATATCTTGGGGAATCATTCTCCTATGATTCAATAAGCTTAGCAATGTCTATCATGTCCGCCATATTCACCGGTCTACAACGCACCACTTGGTTCCTCAGATTTTTCTTCAGCCCTTTCAAGAACGCAGACTCCATGATATCAGTAAGTACATGAGGCAAATCTACTGACAGCACTTCAAATCGCTCTCTGTACTCCTCTTACATTACCGGTTTGCTCAATGCTTAGCAAATGGTCCGTAGAAGATCTTTCCCGACTAGGCTTGAACCGCTCTCTGAACTTCTCCTTAAACGCAGGCCAACTAGTCACGTTTTATCTTCCATCATAGAATCTCCACCAAGATACCACTGTACTACCCAAACGAGATACAGATTGATCTAGTTTCTCATACTCCGGCGACTGATTTACAGCGAAACACTTCTCAACCCTCAACAACCAATCGTCAGGTTTAGCCCTTCTAACTGAAGAATCTCCACCGACCTGTACGATGGCTCGATTCAGGGTAGTGGTGGCTCAAATCGTTGCTACGGTGGTGGTTTCAGAAGTAACCCTTCCGTTTGGCGAGCTTGAACAAACTACATCATCCTCTCTGCGCGTTGTTGCTCTGTGTTCACGGCCGCTGTGACAGGCGACTGCGACTGGAACCCTGGCGGTGGCATGGAAAACCCTAGCGCTGCGTTGCCATTCGGGGACCGCCGTACTGGTAGGCCTTGTTTCGTATGAGGCTGCTTATGGCTTTGCGCATCCACAACATCTCCTTGTCGCGCCGAGCTTCATGTTGCTCCGGCGTTTCGGTAGGCAAGGGAGTGTCTTCGACACGGAGGCCAGAAGACTCGAGTTCCGATTGATTTTCAAGTGGGGAGTTCGACATTGCACCTACTCTCAATGAAAACACTAAATTGTTAAGAGAGAGTTAAGGAAGAACAGAAATAGACAGAAGAAGATGATAGAAGAGAGTGAGCTTGACCTAAACAGCCGCTCAATAAGGAAATAAGATTACTATTGTAATGTCATAAGATAAAGAACCCTAATGAGAGGATTCAACCTTAAATACAACTATAGTTTAGGGCAACATAAACTTAAACGACAAAGCATTATTTATATGACATAAAGTAAAGACTATGTTTGGTAAAGAGTCTCTCTTCCTCCTTTGAATGCCTTCACTTAGCCATTTGGTGTTGCATTCTTCTTTCCCTAGACTCGAGCCTTTCTTCCACTGGTTTTAGCCTTCTTCTTCATGAATACCAATGGAACCCTCAACTTATCACATCTTATATATTAAAGGAGAAGTTGAAAGTGCTCACGTTCGCTCTCAGAATATGAGCAGTCGTTTTTGCCCCCCCTCCCTTTAATGAGATTAGATTAGTGAAATTTCCATTTTATTAACAAAAAAAAAATCGAAATTGTGAAAAAAGGAAACATATCGTTTTCGTTTCTTCAACCCTAATTCGCTTATTCGCTTATTGGGCTTATATTTTTACGAAAAAAGGCCCGGTATAATTTACACCGTCATATGTAAAACCCTAAAACCTTATGCTGGAAATTATATGATGCCTCCCTTGAAAATCAAACATCACCGCTGGCTTTTTATGCATAGCAATTATGGTTTATAGTTCTTTTTTGTACCTCAAATTTGGTCTTTTCTATGATGCATCGTCGTCGGGTTTTTTTCTCCTTTTTATTTTATGATCACTTGGAAAATAAGATCTCAAAGATCTTTGCCAATTTGTGATGAGTTGTTTACGCGAGGTTTATAGCTTGGTCGATTACATGTTTTGATTTTCGTAGCTGTTTGGTTTTATATGCATGATAATTCTCATGTTTTTTATTATCACTTCTTTCTTTTCTCAGGTACAAGCATAAACTTTTTGGATTGTGGACTTGCGAACGAAGCTCAAATCAAATTCTACAAGAAAACACTTTATTTGCGACTGTGATATTAGTCGCTAAACGGTCGCAAAAGAGGGTTTTGCAACTGAATAACGACTATTTCCATTGGTCGCAAAAAAAACGGTCGCAAAATTTCCGTGTATCACTATAGTCGCTAATTTGCGACTATTTTGCCACTATAAATATATCGTCGCAAATTACCGACTAATCTGTGACAGGTGAATATCGTTGCAAATGTGCGACTATTTTAGGACTCATTTATTATGGTGACAATATAGTCATTTATTAGTAACCATTTTGATACGAGATTTAGAGTTATTTGTAAATTTGTTTAGTCACAGTTTGGTCACATTTGTTAATTGTTCTGGTCACAAACTAGTCATAATTTCTGAAACTTTTTGGTCACAGAATGGTTACATCTTATTAGTCTGAAACCTGTCCATTTCAAAAGCAAATGCATTCAAAAACCATTCAAATATCAATCAAGTACCATTCCAAACCATTCAAAAACTATCCTAATCAAAGCATAACATATCCTAATAAGTTCACATACACAGACAAAAGGAAACTAAAATCAAGTTGAATGATTTGAGGCGGTGTTAGATAGAGGAGAGGTTGGTGTGGTTCCAATGGTGTGTCCTGCTGGTTGGACTGCAGCTCCTATGGTGCCTGGAAGGGTGTCGGAAGGGTGGCAAGATAGTATTTCATGAGTGCAGCGACATCAACTGGATTCACACCCTCAGGTATTGACGCACTAGGATCTGCCAAACAAGTGATTCAATCAAATTACAATTTCTCACTAACTATAAGAGTCGAGGCAAATCTTGTTATAATGTCGGCTACCTTGATTGTAAGCAGAAACCAATTGTTGAATCAACTTTTTATCTCCTTCGGCTTTGAACAAGTTCGGTGAATTAAGCCCTGGTAAGAGGAAAATATCACATTGATAACTCGATATGAGAAGGTAAGAGCAATAAAAGGTTTGTGATCCATTGGTCCAAACATTATTACCTGTTAATATGAGATAATCTGCGCATTTAATCAGTATCAGTGGTATAGGCCTGCTTGACTCCTGCCGCTGGACAATGATCTCAATCGGAACACCAAACACTGAGTGCCAAAAAAACGTCATATAGAGAAAGTTACAGCATTTCAAACAAGCAGAGCAGAATCTTAATAACTAATAGTTATCTCAAGAACGGACTAATAAGAGGATTAAGTATCCCCACTACCCTCCATCAAAGAATCAATTGATCTTTCGATTAACTAAATGTTTATAAACTGTATTCTCTCCATAAATTGCGATTAACTTACTATCTGAGCTGGCAACTCCCTGCAGATTTACAAACAATAGATATTAGAGACCAAACTTCAAATCAACGGCATACAATCAGATTTCAGACTCAAGTACCTTCTGCCACCTTTCGATGTCCGTCAAAATGGTCTTGCTTTTTTGTGCAGTCTTTTTGGCTGCCTAAGAGAAAACAAAGATCAAAGAATTTAGGTGTCAAAAGTTATAAAATGAAGCGACAAACATTCTTGTCAAGTCAATTCAAGAAGCTATACCTCTTCCATTTTGATCTTTCCAACGGAAACCTTTTCCTTTGTCTCAGTTATACCCTTCCTGACCAAGGTCCCGGTTGTGGCAGCAGCTGTTATGAGGTGTTCTTGCACGGCATGTCTAGTTGCCGGCTGCTGAAGAATTGCCCACCAGAAACTGCACTAAGAGCATTTAACTACGCTTTTAGACAGCTCATTCATTACCGTGCCCATGCCATCCAAACCAGCCTTAACCATGTACAAAAATAAAGAGGAATATTAGTCGAAATGTAGAAGCAAAAACTAATAACATTGGAAAATTAGAAGACCATTTACCATCTCAAGGAGAATGCTATCCTTGAGATTATATGCTGATATGCTATCATATGTTAACTTAGGGAAAGGAAACACTAGTTATTGAAAGGTAAATTAGAGGTAAAGAACAAGCACATACTTAAACAAATAATAACAGAGATACAACAAACACAGTAGTTTCTTAGAATCAATAAACAAACACAAACTTAAGCAAATTAGATGAGCAGCCACTATACTAACACACTCGTTTCTTAGAATCTTTATTTAACAATCAGATTAGAACAAATTAAAGACAAATCAAACCTTTTTCACTTTGAAATTCGAATAGCAATTATAAACATCATCTGAAATAATATACTAACCTAAAATCAAACCAAAAAACCTAGAGAAACAGAGAAATGAAGCTAACATGGAATAAACAGAGCCAAGAGAGAAATCGAGTTAAAAACTGGTTGTAATCGAACACTATACAGCCCTAAACATCAAAAATAACAGCAGATCTAATATGAAATCGAGCAAATAAAACAAAATCAAGCATTTACAAATCACGAGAAGGAGAAGAGTCATAAACAGTACCTGCCGGACCCGAGTCGGATGGACGTTGGCGACGGTCATTCTCTTGGCCGGAGGAAGCCATGTGATGGTCGGAGATGCGGAGGGTGAAGTTTAAGATATCGCAGTCTAGGGTTATAGGTAGGGTTTATGAAGTAGGAGTTAGGGTTTAGTGTTATACATTTAAACGAATTTAAATAAATAATTTGGATTTATAAGGTAGGGTTAGGATTTAGTGTTTTATATTTAGACGAAGTTAAATATCTGTTTGGATTTACTCGGTAGGAATTATGGTTTAGTGTAATACCTTTAGATAAATTTAAATATCAGATTGGGTTTATAAGGCAAAGGTTAGGGTTTAGGCTTGATATCGCTCTTTTATATTGTAACCATATAGATACGAACATCTAGATATGTTTGGAGTTTACATTACCACATGGTTGACTTATATAAGACAATCATGTAAACTTATATGTTTAGTTCACTATCTAAACAAACAGATTCAAACAATGGGAAACCTCATTAGATTATATTAAAATGATTTATGACTTAACTTATAATGTTTGGGTTTATATGGTAGGGGTTAGGGTATAGTGTTTTACATTTAGACGAAGTTAAATATCAGTTTGGGTTTAAAAGGTAGGAGTTAGGGTATAGTGTTATACAGTTAGACGAAGTTAAATATCGGTTTGAGTTTATAAGTTAGAAGTTAGGTTATGGTGTTACCCATTTAGACGAATTTGAATAACTAAATTGGGTTTATAAGGTAGGGGTTAGGGTTTAGATGCCTCATGAATATAAAAGTGGTGCTAAGTAATTTGCTAGGTTAGCCGTATAGATCGAAAAAGTAGCACACTCTTTTTCAATCCAAGAGAGTAACGTTTACTCTGTTTCGGCGTACAAGAATATAAGAGATCATGTTCTTTAGATCTGTTGTGTGTGTGTTAGAAATCTCCGGTGACAAGTTAAAGTAGTTTAGGTTTTGTGTAAATCCAATTAAGAGAGTTGTAACTTCTTAATTAGATTTCTAATAAATGTATAAGCTCTAATGCTAAGTTTTGGGGAATCGTTCTTGTGTTCATCCGGACTTTCATTTGGTATCAGAGCAGGCATTTGAACAAAGTTGTATCTTAACAACAGGTGAAGATCTTGCGGAAATGATGGATTTTCCCAAGCAATTTGTAACTGTAAGACGTCCACTCATTCATTTACTTCATCATCCTCGTCTGTTTCGCTCTCGCTCCAAGCAAACCAATAAGGGAGTATTCACACATTCAGCTTTTGTGTGGATGCATGGATTGCAAGAAATCTAGGATGGGATCCTCCGATTGTGTAGTCTAAAAATGGAAAAACTACTCTAAAACCAGATGGAAAATGGAATGATGTTGGGAACAGCATTGCTACAGTAAACTCAACAGCACTATCTCTGATTTTTAATTCGGTTAGTGAAAACCAGTTCAAACATACTTTCATATCGCTTTGAAACTATTGCTATGAAGAAACTATTGAAGAATGCATTGGAAAACTGTCAGCAATAGAAGGTGAAGCTCAAAATCTTGGCAAGAAATACAAAGATGAAACAAATGTTGAAAAAGCTTCTAAGATGTTTACCTTGAAGGTTTGAGAGCAAGAAGACGGCTATGGGAACCTCTTCGAATACGAATACTATTGAGTTCGAAGAAGTAGTAGGAATGATGTAGGCGTATGAGATGGATATTATTGCTGGACAGAGTAATGCTCTAAGAGGAATGCGCTTACTGCATCCAGTGAAAAAATGAGATTCAAGAGCTAAAGGATGAGATAAGTATGATGGCAAAATAATTCAGCCGAGCCCTGGAAGTGTGGTTTGGAGGAGGAAAAAAAACAGAGGTGTCACACAAGAGTTGATTGATACTCGGAAAAAGATACACATGATGAATAGTGGGGAAAAGGATTTGGATAGCATCTTAGCATCTGGGAGAGTTGGAAAATCTAATTTCAGATTTGGCTACCATGGAGGTGAGCATAAGTGGGAAGACCAAGTTTTTTCCAAGTAATGGTGTACATGCAGGTCGTTATCAGTCTGTATCTCGAAAGTACACTGAAGTTTTTCCAGCAAGACGTCTGCATTAGAATCAGAACCATTGTCATAGATCACTGACTTGGTATGTATGTTACTATTGTGGTCGTCATAGTCACATAAAGAAATACTGCTACATATATATGAAGCTAAACTGAAGAAGCTAATGAAAGTGGGAAGGTTTTATCCACATCAAAGAAGAGAGTCTAAATCCTATGTTGCAAAATCCGATATGTACTACCATGTTGCGTATACTCAACTGAAACAAGTATGTCTAAGCCTTGGTATTTTGATATTGAAGCTTCTAGACATATGAGGAAGAATCAAGCTAATCTCAACAGTTACACTAATGTAAAAGAGAGCAAAGTCACGTTTGGTGGTGGAGCAAAAGGGAAGATTAAAGGGAAAAGAGACCTAACTGAAGCTGAAAACCAATGTGTATTTTGTTGAAGGGTTAACAACCAACCTAATCAGTGTAAGTCAGTTGTGTGATGAAGGCTTAACAATGAGCTTCTATAAAATGAAATGATGGACTACAGATGAGAAGAACCACAATGCTCTCTCGAGATTCCGTACTGGAAACAATTGTTACATGTGGCAAGAACCTGAAACATGTTTTAGAGCTTAGAAGGATGATTCGGTATTGTGACATCAACAACTTGGACATATGAATGCTAGAAGTCTCTGAAAGCTAGAGATGAAGATATCAACGACTTGGACACCTTAAATAGAGGCAATGCGAAGTGTTTTTGCTGGTAGAGATGAAGATATTTAGTTCTTGACAATCAAAGACGAGATCAAAAAATTATCTCTCACAATTACGTATTGATTATTGCATTATGGTTTTTAGCATTACTATACTTTTGCTTATGTTAGGGTTTTGAATATTTCATCGTTTTTTTAATAGTAATATTTTTTTATATATATTATGTTTTCATAACGATAAAGAAATTTTTGGATTTAATCGATAGGTCTTTATTTTATATGAGCTTGAAAGATTTAGACGTATAAGGGGATGGAGGTTCTTGACCGAGATTCCTATTGGTACGTTTTCGTTTTCTTCCTTTTATATTTTGTGGTTTTAATGTAAATATGGGTTAGCTAACAAATTAAATCCCTAAAACTTAGATACGGTGGGATTTGTCGTCCATATTGGTGGTCTTAAAAGAATCCTTTACGTTCGTGGGCAATTGAATAAGGATAATGGATGTAACTGTGTTTATTTCATATTAAAAAATTTTAAGTAATTTTCCTTTCAATTTTGCATGCCAGTATTTTCGTATATATGTCGTTTTATTTTGGTTTGTAAATTAAAAGGAATTGAAATTGAGATGTTGCATGGTGGGAGATTTAGCCGATTATTTTATGAGATTGTGGGTTAACAGAGAATACGATCGTTCATACCGTCGTGATCTTGTGTTTTGTGTTTTAAGGTTTTGGCGGGTTGATGAATATAAAGATATTGATAGATATTTCTTTATCATATTAAAAAATAAAAAACTTAAGGCAGCTAATATGTTATATGATCTTATCGAATTGTATATTTTTTAGGAAAACTATGTCTCATGAATAGAGGTGGATGTTCAATGTTTTACCTTGACCCAGAGTTTTACGATCTTGAAGAGATCAAAGAACGTTAATATTCAGAGTTTATCATGATACATTAATTGGATGTTCGCATTTGTTTCAATTCATAACCTAGAAAGTTTTCCATACATAGTACACTCTCGACGGCTTTTGCTTGGGTTGCGAGGATGCAAGATATTCATAGGAAAATGTC